TGCTTTTTCTCAGTCTCTTTGTTTTCTCTCCTTGGCCTTCTTCTTGTCATGGCTATAGAATACTGAGGAAGCAATTCTTATTAACATCTCAAGTGAGCCATCTGGGGTGAAAGCCATTTTTTGTAGCTTTTTCTCTCCAGCCTCCCAGCGCATTGGGACCCTGCAACCACTTAGTGTCCTCTCTCCAACTCTTAGCACAGGCAACAGGAATCTCGGTGCAGACCTCTCTGGAGTTCCATGTGCTCCTCCACCACAGCCTGTACTGTCAGGGCAAGAATGGCTTCTAGGAGGTCTCCTCAGGCATTTTGCAAGGTCTTCCTGGTTTCCAGCTTCGAAAACCAGGTCTTGTGACCCCGGTCAACTAGACCTCTGAGTTTTCGAGCGTTGTCTGTATTCTCATGTTCTCCTAGTCCTTGTTCAGCAGCTGCTCCTCCGCTGACTCTGGACTTTTTTGTTCTCAATGGCAAGGGCAAGAGTGACCCATTGTGTGGCATGTATTCCCAGGGGTTTCTCCGTGTCAGGATGATTCCTGCATGTCCCTGGGTGGGCCTTCGTGGCTGGCGTGTGGCGGGCCAATTGTGTCATTGCTTCTCTGTGCCATGATAATTCTTGACTGCGTGGTGGTGGTTGGTGTGAGGGCTGGTGTGTGCCAGCATGCTCCGACATGCAGCTTCCCAGGTGCCAGCTGCCCACCTCAGGGGTGCCTGTGCAGCTAGGGGCTGGCCCAAAGGTCGGTGCTCCCCACTGCGTGGCTTCCCTCGTGCTGGCTGCCTGCCTCCCTGTGGTTTTGTTTTGTTTTGTTTTTGGTACCAGGAATTGAACTCAGGCCTCATGCTTGCCATGCAGGCGCTATGCCACTGAGCTACATCCCCAGCTCCCCAGACTGGCCTTGAACTCACTGTGTAGACCAGGCTGGCCTTGAACTCACAGCAGTTCTTCTGCTTCAGCCTTTCAAGTGCTGGGATTAGAGGATTGCTCCATCATGCACCTGGTAGTTTTCAGTATTTCTTTAATCTCCTTCAGTTAGATTTTTGTTCCATCTTATCCTATCAGTGTTACTGATGATCTCTGTTTTGCAAAATCTTTGTTAATTCTTTATTCAAAATTTTGTTTCTTAGCAGTTTTTGTTGCAGTTGTTAATTCTTTATATCTCAAAGTATTTTTCCCTTGAATTCTATGAGACACTCTCTTTCCTTGTTCTGCTTCTCTGTCCTTGCAGACTCCTGTATGTACTTTTGTATCTTTTTCTCTCTTTTTGAAATGTCTAAAACTGATCTTTTCTTTTTCCCCTTTCTTCCCTTTCTGCTTTTCTTTTTTTTTTTTTTAAATGTGGTACTGGGGATTGAACCCAGGGCCTTACACTTGCAAGGTATATGCTCTATCATGGAGGTATATTGCCAGCCTTTTTCATTTTTTAAAATTGTGAGACAGGGTCTCCCTAAGTTACTCAGGCTGGCTTCAAACTTGTGATCTTGACTTATTCTCTGAAGTAGCTGAGATTAGACTGTGCTACCACGCCAGCTAAAACTGATATTCTTGAGTTTAATCTCTAGCTCTCCATTTTCATATATACTTTCAGTGATCTAATTTATGTATTTGCTGAGTAATTTCAAATTTATTCTCCACCCAGTTTTCTCCTTAATCTTCAGGCTCAGAACTTCTTTCATATATGGCGTGTGCTTATCCCAAAATTCACAAGTCGAATCCTGAAGCTGAGAAAGTGTGGTTATAACCAAGGTGAGACAAGTCTTCAGGAAGAGCTGCAGCATTGTGCAGCTTCTTGGAGTTGTGTAAGGAGGCTTGAAGGCAATCTTCAGAGTGCTGAGTCATTGACTGAGGACCAGGGTACAGGAGAAAGAGATAGGGATTTTGTTTCTGAAGGCAAATGCAAAGGACTTTGAGATTTTCTTATAAAGATTGGGGGGCATGTATGAGAAAAGGTATGTGGCAGCTCATCCCCCCAGTGGATTTTTTATTTGTTTAGTGCCTATCTGAAAAAAGAAAAAAGAGAATGAAAGAGAGAAAGAACAGTGATCAGTGTGCTTTTTTTTTTGGTGCTACAAGGATTCTGGAGCTTCCTGAGGGTCAGGTGGGCATGGCAGACACCCAGGTTTGAGGCTTCATGCGGGTGCCTCACTCAAGTGGGTAGCCTACTGAGGAGGGCGCCTCTGTGCTATAAGGTGTGAAGTACAGTGCTATGGAGGATGTTGAGGGGCTTTGGAATAGGCAAGACTAGAGTCTATACTCGCACGTTGCACTGTGCAGCAGGACTTTCAGAACTGTCAGGCTCTTGCAGACTCCTTCAAAGAACTCAAACATGTATTGTACCAGAGGTTTGGGTGACTGCTCTATGTGACATCAATGAGCAGCAGTCATAGGGCTTCAGAGAAGAAAAATCTGCCACTAAGAGAGGAGGGAGATTGCATGTCCCGGTTCTATCCTCCCGACCTAAACTTGGTGGGGATTAAAACACTCTCAGTGGGGGAGTGGGCAGGACAGAGAGTCAGACTGTACTACTTCTTTAGTCTAAGACTGAGGTGAGGAGAGCAGAGTGTTTTGAGACAGGGGACCTGAGCGTTCTTAGTAATTTAAAGTCACTAGAGGGGCTGGGGATTTAGCTCAGCGGCACAGCACCTGCCTGGCAAGCGCAAGGTCGTGAGTTCAATTCCCGGTACCAGGAAAAAAAAAAAAAAAAAATAAAGTCACTAGAAAATTACGACTTTACGACATCGCTGAAGGGCTGAGAAGAGCTATGCGTCACAGAACACGACTGAGGCCTCATGAACGCCCAAGGCATCCAGCACTTAACATACGCAAAGCCGAACCCGCCCTTGCCTCCTGCAAACCTGCTGTTCTTCCCGTTTCTCCTGGATCAGGAAATGGTCCCATTTGTTTGAGTGCTTAGGCCCCATGTTTAGCAATAAATTTTAGGTCTTTTTTCCCCTTAAACCTCCTTTCAGCACAACAGCAGGTCTTGTTGGCTCAGCCCCTGAAAGAAATGGTATCTGAACACTTTTATCCACCTACAGGGTGCCTCTTTCGCTTTCAGTTTGGGTCACCTAGCAGGTCTTCCTGCTTATTCTCTGCCCTTGTCACTCTATACTTGTTAATCCTCCCCAGTGAGACGGAGCAATCTTTTATAAAGCATAACCTATTACTCCCCGGTTCAAGCCCTCCAGTTACTTCTCATCACACTTAGAATAAAACGTACACGTTTTACCAAGACGGCCGGGCCTCACATGGTCTAGCTTCTGTACTTCTGACTCAGTCTCCTACTGCTCTGCCTCCTTCTTTGTAGCCTCATTGGCCCTTTGCATTCCCGTAGCAGGCCCATTTTGCTTATCTGTAGTATACTTGCTTCTTTTACCATTATTTTTCTTCCTGGTATTTATTGACCTGACATTTGCTATTATTTGTTTTTAATCTCAAAATGTGAAGTCCTGGATAGCAGGGACTTTGTCTTCTTTATTGGTATATTCCCACTGCTTAGGATAATTCCTATCACAAAATAACAGGCCGATGTATGTTCATTTAAACATATAATATGTATTAAATATATGCATCTGTTATGTCAATAACTGTGAATACTCATTTCTTATTTCAGTCCTCTTCAGATTGCTCTAGCTGTATTTCTTGGAGTTACCATTTTCCAATTTATTGAGGCTTGTGAAGTGTTATTAATATGGTGCTGAATTTCTTCCTGGATTTCACAAATAGTTTATTCTGTGAGTACTTTGTATAGACACCACAGATTGTAGATTACTTCTTGTGGGGAGTTTCGTGGCTGTTGGTGCCCTAGCTTCCTCGTTATGTCATCACCAAACGAGGCCTCAGCTGTTCTGATGCGGATACGCGCACAGAACAGGTAACACATTTCTAGCAGGAGTCTGCCATCTGGACAGATTTAGATCTGGACCAGTTTAGGTGGCTCTATTTTCACTCCTGGGGCAGAAAGGTGATGGCATGTTGATTCCTGTCCATGGATAGTTCATCGCTTTTCTGTTCTTTGGTTTACTTGAGACAGACCAATTCCAATTCTCCACCACATTGGCTGCCATCTTGAAAGTCCAGTTCTGTTTCTGAGGCAAAGTGCCTATATCTCTTTCTTCAGCTTAACTTTTCCCTCACCGTTATTTCTCTATTCAGCTTGTGGCTCTTAGAAATCACTGTAACATCCTTCCCCTCAGTTTTGTATTTAAGCCTGGCTGTGTATTTTTTATTTAAAAAATATCAACCAACACTAAACTAGTGAAATAGAAGATGGCACAGTTCCTAGTTACTTTGGTATTCCTTTTCCCCTCCTCTCATCTCCTTGGGTTATTCACGGATTATTATATCTTTCCCGCCCATTTTCTCAAATGCCTCCACCAAAAAGGATGCTATTCAGTTTAGAGTCTGCCTTGTAATTTCTAGTTTCCAAACCAGTAATGCCCTCTGTGGACCTCAGGTGAGCCATTGCTGCTGTTCTGATTGTAAAGCCTGTGCCCAAACAAACATCTGGAGTTTCCATTTTCATCCTTGGGTCTCAGCTACTGACTCTATGTTTTCATTTGTGCAGCGAGAATATTTAACTGATCAGCTCTGTTGCTCAGGACTTAGAAAAGATATGTGGACGGGACTTCACAGGGACACTATCTTCTTCTGTATTAACCACTCCACTTCTGTTCAGCCTCAAGTAATGATCTCCTTTTCCTAATGCTGAAATTACTAAAATGCTATTATTGTGAAAATTAAACTGAGAGTGTACTTAGATGAAAGTAGAGGGGGGCATATAATCATGTTTACAGTGTGTCAGAATGATCCATCTTATTTCATAATATTCTTCAGGTTTTTTGCTGACAGATGCCAGTTTAGTCCTTCTTTTAACCAGTATTTTCTTCAGTTGTCTAGAGTGCAGGAGGGTAAGATGGAAACCAGAGGGATATGAGAAAAATCACTGAGAGAAGTGAAATGCAAGGAGCTAAAGAGGACCAAAGTAGAGAAACAGATGTAACACTTACTTGTGGGTATCACAGATAAATCTAAAAAAATAAATTAGATACTAGTGATTTGCATGACAGGAGCAAGATTCCTTTTGGGGAGGCGTATTTGTGTAGGAGGGAAGCTTGTTAGTCACACAGTTCTGGGTTCGAGTTATAGTTCTAGGACTCTATGTTTCTGGGTAAGTATCTGCCTGTTTCTGATGCCTAACAAAAGGATTAATTAAGTTACTATAAGGGTAATTAAGTTGGGTAATATCATTGAAATATCTATAGTTCTTACTGGAGGTATAGAGTAAATATATATTTAAAATTAAGCAAATGTAAGCTTCCTTTACAAGATGAAGCTGGAAGTGTGAATGCAAAGGAAGTCGGAAGCCACACGGCTCAGGTTATTGAACACGAATTAAAAATGAGCAGGGAAGGGACAAGTTTTTAGGCTTTGTAGAGAACAGTAACAACAGAAAGCGGCAGAAAAATGAACAAAACTTACCGCTGCTGGGAGTTGAAGATGAATCAGCTGAAAAAAAGAGAAGTATCTTAGCAAGTGCTGTCTCTTATACTATTTATTTTTTCCTTCTATTTAGGGAAAACTTTCTCTTTGGCATTTATTTACTTTTAATGTGAATCAACAGCTCAGGCTGTCCAAAAAGTCGCTAGTAACTGTATGAAATTTTGATAATAGGAATGTAGTAAGTAAATGGTTAAAGTAATATGTACCCCAAACCAAGAAACCCCAGCTATGTCACGGAAAAGAGAGATTCTGGGGCCCCACAGTGTTGGCAACAAGAACTTACTGATGGCAAGTGGAGCTGATCTCCCTGGTAGGAGGAACGGAGGAAACTGTTATCTCTTTTGTCTTTCTTCCTTGTTCAGTTTTTTTTTTTTTTCCCCCTCTGGCACATCACATTGTTTTGCATTGCTGAGAACTATGTAAAAGGTTTTCTCTGCTTTTCATATTTTTGCACATCGATAGTGCTAGAACTTTCTATGATTGTACATCATTAATAACCCAGGCAGTTTCGATAATGAGAGAGCAGGAGGCCAGGATGTACCTGAGGCCCTTTGCATCCCAATATGGCCAGATAAAGATCGGCGGACCCCAGCTGAGGCCAGTCTGTTTCTATGGGACAGAATTAATTGAACTCACAGACTTACTGAATGTACTAGGCGGTGGTTCTGCTGCAAAACAAGGAGAGAGATTTATTAACCCCTCGCATTTCCAATTTCACTCATGTTTTTCTGTTGGAAAATTTCATATTGATAAAATTACTTTAAAAGTTTTTCTGATCATAGGCAATTGAATTTTCCAGAACACCAATAATTAGCCATTGATAATGGAAAAGCAAAAGGCTAAGAAAACAGGAGTTTCAAGTTCCTTTATTATTTGCTGGGCTTTGCTAACTGCACAGCAGAGAAACATAAACTTTACTAGTTGATTTTATAAGAGCCCACCTTGAAAACAAAAACATTATTTCTATCATTCTTCTCTAATTAATTTTCCCTTCTGTATGGAAAGTTATTTCATAATCCTTAGAACCGTAGAGAAACATTTTTCTCTAATTTTAACTTTTATGTGAGTCCGAGTGTATTCTAGGAGCTTGCTAATAACCTACTGGAGTTGTGGGTAACAGAAAAATAAGGGGTCAAGGAAACTGGAGATTTAAGTCATTGCATCTTAACATGATTGGATGCATCCACGTGATCCTGCTGGAGAGAGTTGAGTTCCATCATGAAGGGAGACAGTGAAACTTACTAGTGGCTCCTGTACCTGAAAAGCGGAGAAATCAGTATGACTAGAATGGTGGGGGCTGGGGATTTAGCTCAGGGGCAAAAGCGCCTGCCTGGCAAGCGCAAGGTCGTGAGTTCGGTTCCCAGTACCGGAGAAAAACCA